TATTTTGACAGTTTGGAAGAAGATAGCAGAGACATTGCATTTCAGTATACAGAGGAATAACTGACTTACATTTTATTTTATAGAATTGATCCACTTATACTCCTTATATGAACAAATATATTGGCAAATAAAGAAGGTAAAATCTCACAGAATTATTACTTTTTTTTTTTTTTTTTTTTTTTTTGGTTTGTTTCTCCATGATGCCATTCTTATGAAATAGATGGGACCTGTTAGCTTTCTGGAGGTGGAGTGTAGAGTTGAGCAGATGTGGACATCTCCTGTAAAGGTGAAATGTATAAATATAATTCTTTTGTCATATCTCAAGTTTCTGTAGATGTATTAGAGTCAGAAACTATGTTATTAACTTTGACAGAATTTTGTATACAACCAAAGATAAAGTTCAGTTGTGGGAGATAAACACAAGAAGAGAAATAAAGGAGACTCCTATGAATTAAGAACACACATATTTATTATGTTTTTTGCTTCATCTCATATACCAGAAAGATTTTCTTAGCTCATGAAGAGAAACTTACATGTAATATTACATTAAATTATAACTGCTAGCAAGGTAAGATATCTTCCTCTATATCTGAATTTTCTTAGGAATTTTCATATTTTTTGAAGAACATTTATATTTTACAAGGGAAAATTACCTTATTTATAAAGTTTTAGGCTTCCTTATATAAATACAAATTGAAATTAATAGTTCATTCTTACCAATATTTTTTTAAAGAGAGAGAGAGAGAGAGAGAGAGAATTTTTTAACATTTAACATTTATTTTTTAGTTTTTTGGCGTGCACAACATCTTTGTTTGTATGTGGTGCTGAGGATCGAACCCGGGTCGCACGCATGCCAGGAGAGCATGCTACCACCTGAGCTACATCCCCAGCCCCTTACCATTATTTTGAGTATAAATTCTCACCAATCTAATCGGTATTGTGAAATGTAGCATTTTTTGCTTTTCTTTCTAAAATTGTGCTTGCTTGAAACCATCTGATACTTTGACTCATCAGGTGATTACTATTTGATTTTATGATGAGATACAGTCTGTCTTTAAAAATCAAGATTTATTAAATTTATTAAGATTAAGATTTATTAAGTACCTTCTTGGCTTTGCCTTATATTAAAACCTAAAAGAAAATAAAGGAACAGCAGGATGAGGTGGAAGCAGAGGAGGAATAAGACTCTCTTACAGTTTTGTGAAGAAAGAAGATTTTAAACCACAATAAGATTTTTTTTTTTAATGGCACACACCTGTAATCCCAATGGTTTGGGAAGCTGGGGAAAGAAAATTGCAAGTTCAAAGCCAGCCTCAGCAACTTAGCAAGGCCCTAAGCAACTTACTGTGACCCTGTCTCAAAATTAAAAAAAAAAAAAAAGAAAGAAAGAAAAAAGAAAAAAGAGGGGGCTGGGGATGTGGTTCAGTGACAAATCACCTCTGGGTTCAATTCCCAGTTGAAAAAACAAATCTTATAGCTGGAGGAAACCCCAAGACATAGAAACAAATGCTTATGTTTCTGAACAAAGGAAACGTGTTCTTTGAGGTTCAGTGGTATCACCACAATTCTCTTCCAAGATATACTTCAAGGGAGAAGTGGGATTTATGTGTGGGATTGATGTGGGGTTGTTATAGGACATGTCAGAACTCAACTGTCACGACATGTCAAGTTTATGCTGTATTTATTCACATTTACTATCTCTTTTACATTATTGCAAAAATCTTCTACATAAAATGCCATTGACTGAGGTCCAAGGAAGTGAAGCAACTTTTCCAAGGACTAATAACCATCACAGAAGGGATCCAAACCCATGTTCTCTGACCATAAACAGTGATTTGGAAGGTAGAGGCATTCCAAGTTTTGAGTTTGTTTGAATACGAGCTGGGATTATCACATTGGAGGAAGAGTAGATAAGTCATCTGGCTTAGCAAGGACAGAGATTCCATGCTGGGAATAATAAGTTCTATGGAGGATATCACATTTTTAAAAAAAGTTATAAGTGTTCTACTGACACACAAAATTCAAAGCAAATTGGTTTCATCCATCAGGAGAGGCTATTATAATAATAAAGCAAAAGAAAAGAAGGGAGGGAACAAAGGAAGGAAAGAAGAAAGAAAAAAAGAGAGGGCAGGAAAAAAGGGAGACAGAAAATGAAGGCAATACTAGCAGAAATAAAACAGCCTAGTTGGTGGAAAAGCATCCTGTATATATCTATGAATGACTAAAACACGTAGTAAGATTCAAATCAGCTGGAGAAGTGAAATGACAGAGATGCTGTAGCAGCAATTATCTCGAACTAGTTGTATTATAGTTATATTTTCTTCTTCATACATTTCTTCTTTTAAATTATTTACAAGGAACCTATATTGTTTTAATAGTTCCAAAACCAATTTACATAACATAAATACATATATGGCTACATTATTTACTGAAATATTTCTAAATTTTAAACCATGTAAAAGACATAAAATTGAGATTAAAACTAGAACACATTGTACTGAATTAGAGTGATTTACATTGAAATTATACAAACTGTTGTAAGCCAAGCACCATAAAATTTGCTTTCTTCTTATGTTAGTGTGTCTAAAGCTAAATTAATAATCCCCTGTAATAAATGTACAGATCAATATATTTGGAACAATACTCCATGTTTATAAAGCCCCTCTACTTGTTATTTTAAAATAGCGTGCTTTGCCACCAGAGTTTCATTTTCAAGACACTTTGCTGGCTTTCTGATTGTGATATCTCATGAGATGCCATGGATCGAAAAAGGCTGAGTGATTGCACATTTCTGACACTGGTGTGAAGAATTTAAATGGATACTTTGCCTTGAATATTTCTGTGTGACATTGTAGTTACCATCTTGTATTCCACATAAAAGTTGCTTTGGTGTTTGTCAATATCCATCCACAGTTACAAGGACTTCTAGGAAATTTCTACAATTAAGAAATGGAAAGAATCTAATGATAATAAGACCTTACAGTTCCATACAAATAATAAGGCACCATGTTATTTCCTGATAATAGTTTTTTCCCCCTTGGAAATAATTTAGCATAATTATAATACTGCAGATTATCTCCAACATTGACATTCCATGATGGTGATAATCAATTTTATTTTTTCTGCATTTGAAATGACTTAGCTTACCTTACAAATTTATAAATGGATGCACTTTTTAACTAACCAACTTCATCACTGGACATTTGTAACCATACACAAATCACTGGTAAAACTTTTCTATAAGGATTTCATGTTAAGAACACCAACATTTTAGTGCCAGAGGATCTTCTGACCACATTGGTCTCTTCAAAGTCTTCAAACTAGACCTTAACTATGCTCCTTGCATGGAATTTCTGTCTGTGATTTCTTCATTAATTTAACCTTCAACATATAATATACTTTATTTACTCAGCTACCTTTAGATAAGAAAATTTTCAGTTGTTCCTCTCTAAACATTTCTTATAAATCTTTACTGAGAACAGACTTTCTCAAAACAATTTTGTGATTAAAAAAATGTTCATAATAAATTTTTCAAAGCTCAAAATATTTAGCCCATTGCATTCTCAAAAGAGAAAAAAAAATAGAAAACATGTAAGTTCAATCCTGGTTGGAATAAAAGGGGTGATAAAACAAAGTATCATAATAACTAAATATGTTTTCTCTGTTTTGGATGTTTCAAAGTTTGAAAGTATTTTTTATAAAAAACAATTGGTGTAAAATAACATTTCAAAATTGTTCTTATTTAATACTCAAGATATATTTGATTTCTCTTGTAAGCTTCATAAGAATTTTTTAAGTTGTAGATGAACATGATATATTTATCTATCAATCAATTTATTTGTTTTTATGTGGTACTGAGAATTGAACCCAGGGCCTCACACCTGCAAGGCAAGCACTCTACCACTGAGCTACAGCCCCAGCCCCAAGAATTGTTTTAAAACCAGAAAAAGTATATTCTGTGAAATCGAAGTCAAGTATATGAAATATAACAATTACCAGGATCTAATGTATTCTTACATTTACATTTATATGCAGGATATGTATTTCACCCACTGAAGACACAATAGTGAAAACAAAAATTTAACAAACAAATTGTTTATTAAGTTTGTTGTATGTATAAGTAGTCAACTTTTGAAGTAAGAGAAGAAAACCCACACTCTTCCCCTTTCAGCTGTTTTCACAGTAGACACTGTCTTTAAGAAAATGAATATACCAAGAAATACTGGAAACTCCCTGCCTTCCAGAAGTACTGATTAATTTGAGAGTTTCCATGTTTTTCAAGCCAATAAAGTGTGGTATAAGTGATTGATCTGAATATTTTGAATACTTTGCCTCCATAAGTTGGTACTATAAAATATTTATCAACATTGAAATACATTTTACCTACATTTACACTTACAAGATGTTAAACTGCCTAAGTGGTATTTATCAGTGATTCTACTACTATATTTTATTTGTGTTTTTTTGATATTCTTACTTCCATTAAGAAAATACTTTTAATTTGCTTTAGAATGCTTTACTAAAGTATGATTTTTATAATTGGAGTTGAAAAAATCAGTTGGCATAGTGCAGATAAAGTATTTTTTGATTGGATTTTTAGATATTTTGAAATCTATAGGTGATTGTTTCAAATTATTTTTCCTAAAAAGATAATTCTCTACCCCAAAATTGTGCCTATTCCCAGCAATATTTAACCTTTTCTGACAAAATTCTATTCAGTATATTGTTTGCTAGTAGTTCCTTTTGAATGTGTGATTCTAGAATAATAGTTACCTAGATTTTAGGTTCTCCAGCTAGAAGAGGGGCATCAAGAATAAGCAAGAAAATAAAGAAACTGTAGAATAAAAGTATAAGTTTCTAAATACATAAATGCTACTTTTTTTCAGTAATCATTCAAAATATTGGTAAATGAGGGGCTTTTAAAATTTTCTATATAGAAAGTACTTGCTTGAGAATATGTTGCCTGTCTCTCTAAACACTTGTATTTTTTTTTCTTCCAGTTACTGGCTAACAAACAAAGTTCCCATCAAAAGACCCAGCACAGGTCTGCTCATGTATACACTTGCCACAAGATTCTGTGATGAAATTCACCTGTATGGATTCTGGCCATTCCCTAAGGATTTAAATGGAAAAGCTGTCAAATATCATTACTATGATGACTTAAAATATAGGTACTTTTCCAATGCAAGTCCTCACAGAATGCCATTAGAATTCAAAACGTTAAATGTGCTACATAATAGAGGAGCTCTAAAATTGACAACAGGAAAGTGTATAAAGCAATAAAGCACATTTTAAAACATACAAACAAACCGAATATGCACTTCTGTTCTGAAGATGCTTCTGAAGATTTGAAAACAGGATCCAAAACAAGGCTGGGTTTCAGCATTCACCAATTAACTGAAAGGATGATAAAGGAAGTTCATGTGAAATCCACTACCAGCTGATGAAATACCTGCAAAGTGCTCTAAAAATTAAATATTTTGACTTCAAGGGTCCTAGTAAGTGCCACTTCCACTAAGAATACAGTTTGAATGTATAATCAGTAGTGTTTACAAGATCAAACAATGCATTTGTCATTAATTAGCAAAGCAAATATGTTCATCAATTTTGGGCTGCCGCTGCAACGCAAAGCACATGAGAAGAGGAACCCAGGAACACAACTCAGCCCTTGGGAAATTAAATCATCCTTATCATCAGAAATCAAGATGGAACAATTTGAGCAGTGAAATCCATAAGATTAGACAACTCAAGTAAATGCCTTCAGTCAGGACTCTGAGTCTGATCATGAATGTTATGTTTTTGATTGTGTTTTTTTTTTAATTTTTTGGGGGGTGGGGGGATGTCTTCTGAAGTCTCTTTTGATTTAGATACTGGGATGCTCAGAAATCCTTTCTGAGATAAAGAAATAGGAAATACAAATGAATGAGAAATAAATGTCAAATAATCATTACTAAAGTTCTCATAATTTTCAAAAACAATCACACTGTTTCTATTTTTAAGTTTTATTTTGCACAACTCTAAACCTCCAGATTAATTTCCAGTGGTGTAGAAGGTACCAGCTAAACTGTACCACTCAGTAATAGTGGACCATTTTAAAGGAAAGACATTCCAGATCATCTAAAATGGTAAAATTAACAGGAAAAAAAAAGCACTTTAGGTACCAAAGATTATACTCATTTTTCTACACAACATACCATTCTCCTCTCATGAAAGTAATACATTATTAAGATGAATATAGTATTATGCTACTAACGTGAAAGTTGTCTCTAAATATTTTTAAATTTCCAAAGTCAAATTTTATTTTTATTGGAGGGAAATCTGCCATATTCTCTTCATTTCATAATAATTCTGTGGAAACATTTTGCTCTTTAGAATAAAGATGGGCATCAAGAATAAGCAAGAAAATAAAGAAACCGTATAATAAAAGCATAAGTTTAGAATAAAGTTTGATATAGCAGAAATGTGACTTCTAGTTTTTTTAATATTCCCCCGTGATTCAAAGGCAAAGATTGTTATGCTCTTTGTATCATACTTAGTGCAAAAATATCATGATTAATAGCAGAGATGATTAATGTTAAGAGGTTTAACAATGAAACTGTGTCAGTGTTATGTACTTAAAGTGAATTCAATTGACCAATAGTTTTCTGTAAATTTAATCACATTACCCCTAAATGTGTTTTTAAAGAAACTAAAGTTTTTCATAAGGTGATTTTTTTTAAAGTATAAAATATAACGGAATGGGTCAGTAAGTTAGTTTTCTTATAATTTATACTGCACCAGTAGGTAATTCTGATGGTAAATTGTTTCTTCAGAAAGCAGAAGCACTTTTTTCTCACTTCTTCTTTGGCATGAACCAACTTACATGACTTCTTGTTTCTTGGGGAAGGCATCTGAGGAAAGAAGAAATAGCATGAGGAATAGGTTTGTTTTGTTTCTTTCTTAGAGAAGGCAATGTGAGAGATGAATAAAAGCATGAATTATATATATATATTGTATATATATATATATATATATATATATATATATAGTATATATATATATATATATATATATATATATACACACACACACAGATATATATGTATATTCATGTTATCACAGTATAGATATTCAGAATAGTATGATTTTTAATATTTTAATCATATGAGCTATTATTTAAAAAAAATAAGGTAGAACATTGGGATACAGAAGACTATATTTTCCTAGGATTCTTGTGTCCCTAAGAAAGCAAAATGGAATACATATGGGAGATTCATAGCTAAAAATGAATAGAACTTTAATGTACTTTTATCATTAAACCTCTTATCTATTGAAATTTTTATTAAAAATTGCATACGCTTTGAAGGTAAACTTGAAAAGTATGCTTTATCTAACATGAAAAGTAGAATCTTTTCATAAAGTATGATTTATTTAATAAATGAAAAGTAAAATTGTATCTCAGTTTGGACTATTTGCACATAATAAATTGTTACAGTAGCCTTTATCTTGAATTCAGTAGAAATGTAGAAGTCACAAGTAAATCTTCCAACTTGATATTCATTCAAAGTTTGTCTTAAAAAGCAACAGCAAGGTACCTTGCCATTTTTACTGCATTTTCAACAAATGTACTTAAACAATTTTAAGGCCACAGCAAACACATGTCAGCCATTCACTGTTTCTGTGCATTGATGTTTATCTCATAGATGTATTGGGTAGTGCCTTTTTAGCTTCTTCGCTCTGCTTTATTATCCTACACTTTCTGTTCTCTAAATACTTGCCCAGTTCTGAAAATGTTCAGCATAAAAAAAAGGGCTTCAGTATTGACTGAGACTATTTTTGTTCATCTCAGGGAACTTTCAATACTCAAGAATGAATTCAATTAAGGTATTCAGTGTTCAAACAAGGCAACTGTACAAGTCTATTTCATTCCCTATTGTATATACCTATCCATCTGTCTTCCCCCTTTGATATCTACTGTGGCCTTCTTATAAGGATAGGGCAAGGAGATCATTGAAGGCTAACAGCAAGACTAACAAAGAGTTGAAATTTAAACAACAAGGGGGCAAATGGGATCAGAGCAAAATCAAATTATAAATACATACTTGAAATATAGGGGTTTTTCTTTCTTTTGAAACTGTCTTACACTTACAGCTTTAATTTTTTTTTTAACTTATTTTTCATGATTTAACCATGTACCTGGCAATGCTCAGGCAGCTGATTGTGAAATATTCCTGTTTAGGTAACATAATGTTACTGTGCTGTTAACATGAATAGGCCATGGAAACATTGCATCATTATTACCCAGCCTGTTCTATGGTTAATGTTATATTGCTGAAATAAAAAGTGAGTCAGTAACAGATATTCTGGGCAAATCTAAATGATTCAGCCCACAAGACTGATGAAACTACTGTGGAAGTTTTCCTAACTGAAAGAAGGTGCTGGGCATTCAAATGTCTTCATGTATTGTATATCATATGAATTGTATATCAATTATTAACGGGAATTTCTACATGTATGCTTATAGAAGTGATTAATTTAAATAATGCTAGGGGTAGTGTACATACCGACTAGTTACTAAGCTATTACACAGGAAAAGGGTGAACAAAGTAATTTATTTCTAATTGAGCCAGTTAGTCATAATGCACATAATGTTGTATTTGGTTCATGAAAGAATTGTTTTCATGTGGTTATTATAAGGACTATCTGTAATTGTGGAAGGGGTGTGGGAAGAGTTATGTATAGTTAGTTGTTATCTCTTCAAGTTTGGAAGTTTCCCCATCAAACATTATTAATATACCAATGTTTTAAAAAAAAATGAGTGAGGGTTGTTGTTTGTATTTGATTTTTTAAAAAATCCAAATAAAGCCCACCTAGAAATAGATATTTTATTATATATGTGCTATAGATATATCTATATAGTACAAATAGACATGTGTGTAACATATATACAATGTTATATATGTGTATCCGTGTGTATACACACTGAGTCTGTAAAATGTACACACTAGATTTGTGTTATGTTAACATCTTCAGGGTCTGCACTGTGAACTACCCTGGAGATATTAGACCACTTGGGAATAAAGAAGTTCTTTTGAAACTTCAGTGACTAAACTGCTTTAAGAGAGACCTACTTTAAAACTGAATTCTATGTTCATACTTAGAGTTAAAATAAGGGACACTTTTTTAAAAATGAAAAAAAATAATAAAAGTCTTCAAGCTGGCAGTGTATTTGAATTGCAGTTTTCAGATTTTGACTCCAGGCCTTGTGTGTCTCATTTAAGTAGCACCTTTTAATAAATGCTGTTTCTTTGTGTAGGCAAAAGCACAAGTGTTTCAAATGTATATAGCAGGAAAAAAGTCAGTTTACAGAGATAGTATTGCTGCACAGGATAATTGCTACTGAGAATTTCTTATATCATTTATTTGTGGAATTAAGAGATGAGGTTTTTTTTCTGTCAGGTTCATTCTGTTAAACACTGTTTCCCTATCATTTGTGTATAGCAACTGGGTATTATTGTTTTATCATTTGTAAAATTGTAAAATAAATTAAATTTCTTTTTCAATTTTTTTCTCTTGCTTTTATATCAAAGACCTTGGTTCTACTTAATATGTCAATATCCTTTAGTAATTTTTTTTATTGATGTTTTTGTCTTCCTTTCCCTTTAGCCTCAGTCATTGAAAATTAGGCTAACCATTTTATTTCAAAGTGTTTGCATAGAAATATGAATAAGATCAGTAGAAACAAGAACATGAGAAAATCATTAACAATTTATTGTATAGTACATTTGGTTTTGGTTTTTGGAGGAGCATTACACAGATGATGGTCATTTGTATCCAAATTATACTCCCACTGACTAAAGTAACTGAGTCATTTCAGCTTTAGGGCTGAAGAGGACAATGACTCCTTATACATATATATTCAAGGACTGCCTCTTGACTTGTGATTTCATCTGCAAATTGCAGATCTTTGCAGGTGGCCTTCCAAGGGATGATTTTGAAAGACTATATATTTAAATCTTCTTTCATGGCTTTTCATATGTGCCAATGCCATGTTTTCATTTATTACACTATTTTCTAAAGAAAATTTTAACTGTAAATTCATGAGGTCTCTTTCAGCATTCTGTGATTTTGAAATTTGCTGTAGACCAATAAGTAATTATTAACAATGAAAAATTAGCATAGATGCTATTTTTATATTTGTGTTATTATATTTTACTTTCAAAGATCCATAAACAGTGGATTATTCCTCTCTGTTCTTGGAGTATAATCATATCTCATCATAGAACTCCATTTTCTGATGTTACAGAGCATCTTTCAGGATTTTGGTGAGTTATGGTGACTTTCAGCTATTTTTCAAAAAGGCAATGTTAAGCCAAATATGCTGGCACATGTTTGTAATCCCAACTACTTGAAAGAATGAGGCAAGAGTATCACAAGTTCAAAGCTAGCCTCAGCAATTTAACAAAAGCCTGTTTCAAAATAAATAAATAAATAAATAAAAAGGAATAAGGAAGGGGATATAGCTGAGTGGGAAAGTGCCCCTGAGTTCCACTCTCAATACTTCCCCAAAAAGGCAATATTATTTTTTTTTCCAACCATCAAATATTATATACAATATTTATTTATTTATTTAAAAAATCTATCCATTTATTTATTTTTGTGGTGTCAGAGATTAAAATCAGTACCTCATGCATGCTAGGAATACACTCTACTTCTGAGTCACCCCAGCAGTCACTAAATATTTATTATTTTGAATAGATGTAGGTATGTTGTTCTCTGAAATTGTGATTAGATATTCTGTGATTTTTCTCTATAGTGTGCTATTGTTCAACAGGCTTTCCAAAGGAATGATATTTTCTCACACAATTCCAATTTATCTTCAGGGATTAAAAAGGCACTATAGCATACTACAAACTTTAAGAAATAGGGCAATTACAAAATTAATTTTTCTAAGTAAGAATGGCCAAACAA